TGCACAGACTTGGGACCCCACTTGTATCACCCACTATCTTGTAAATCATATGGTGTGTTTAGGCTCACTTGGGTCTCCTATGATCTGCTTGTCCTCACAGCAAAAGCACAGGTTTGAGCGACTGTGGCAATGACATCTTTGTATTAGCATTTCATACACAAACACACACACACACACACACACACACACATACACACACACACACTTATTTTTCCTAAGTTTCAGATTGATAGTTTGGAATTGTTTTATCATTTTACCTTTAAAAGAAAAGAATCAAATTGTTTTGCCTAATAAACTCATTGAGGATCCACCCATCTTGGGAATGGCCCCCATGGTGTCAGTCATCTTCCATGCCTCAGGTGAGCTTGTCCTTCTGTCTGGTGGTAGATAGCAAGCATTCCTTCCAACATTCCCCCTCCAGGGGCTATGTCCACTTCTGAGGCCCTAAGATTGATCGGTGAGATTCCTTTGCCTTTCCTTTCCTCGTAACAGGTCACCAGGAACCAGGAGAGACTAGGCAGGACAGAGTTGGCCTCTAAGGATCACACAGGAGGTTTTGGTTTCTGCCATGGAAAATAGGAGTAAGAAGCCAGGCCTGGAAGCGTCCCAGAAGAGGAAGGGAGGGAGAGCCTGGGCTGGCCAGCCCCACCTGGGTGCAAACAAAGACCCACCCCACCCTGGCCCACGCTGGCACCCAGCCCTACAGGATGGTAAAGGCAGTGCTCACCCTGTACAAGGCAGCCACTGGAGGTGCCTGATCTGCTTCGGTGTTTTTGCCTGCATAATCCAAATTGTTTACCACACAATGACTGAGCAATGGGAGTTATGTGAGGGGCTAATCATTTTATGGAGGAGAGAACAGAAGCCAAGAACAGGAATTCTTGAGCCCAGGCTCCTAAGTAACATGCTTGAGCTGTGAGCCTATGGCCCTTACCCCGTGGTGCTCAACACCACCAGCCTCAGCCTCTCCCCTAGCTGGTTGCTGACTCCTTGTCACAGATGCCTGAGTCACCAGGTAAGGGTGCTCAGGCCTAATTCCCACCTAAGCATGGAAAATGAGCCTATTCAAAAGCTAGCTGGGGAAGTACCGAGCCCAAGGAGCAAAGGTACTCATGCACTGTTCCTGTCCCAATGGAATGCATACCCAAAGGGAAGCCACTGTCCTGCTGGCTCACCTCCCATCACCCTAGACTGTTCCTGGACTGGATGCTCCAAAAGTGTGGGTTGGCAGGTGACAGGAAATAAGCCAGGGCTTTATCATGAACCTAATCTTCTTGAACTAGTCACCCTGAGCTCTAGGCTTTACATTCTGGCCTTTGGATTCTCAGAAAAGCTCTAGGTCTTAGATATGGAGGCTCCACATCCACAGTCCCAGGTTCTAGGCCCCCCATGCCAAGGTCTGCATTCTGACATCAGGGTGACAAGCCCCATTTCAGAGTTTAAGTTCTAGGTTCTGAGCTCTAAGAGGGTTCTGGATTTGAGGGCTCTAGGCTTTGGACTCTGCAGTTTGAATTTGAGGGTCCAGGCTATAGAGTATGTATTTGGGCTCTATATCCCTGAGTTTGGGGCCCCAGAGCTGAGATTCCTGATTCCTGGGCTCTAAACTGCAGATTCTACACTATACTTGACTTTGCCCTGAGTCATTGTTAACTTCATGCCTGGAGCATAACGTCCTCTGAAGGGGTTCTTGATTGTTCCCATTGACAAAGCCTCCAACACCTAGAACAGTATATGGCATATGGGGGTACACACACACACACACACACACACACACATACTGGCTCCCAAAATCTGATCAATAGACACATACCCCTGCAGTTGAGGCCTAGGGGACCGGGCAGCTGGCAGGAGGCCAGGACACCAGGATGCCAGCAAGCTCTGCTGCTGGTGGAGGTGGGGCTGCGGAGTCAGGACCACAATGCACCCCGGGCATTGTGCAGGGCAACACAACTAAGCTTCAGTTTTGTGCCTGTCTGGCCTAGGTGTCCGTTCCACAAGAAAGGATAAAGACAGGGTAATGGTGGCATGCCAGGGCAGTGCCTGGGGGTTGAAGTCCTGGAGATGCCATCTGCTGCATCCTGATGGGCTGTAACACTGGGAGCAAGGTGCTGGCCTTCAAAGGAATCTGGCCTCCTGCTCTGTATGCTGGCCAGGCAGTCTGTCTCAGGAGTAATTACAGGAAAGCTCCAGTTCTAGGTGGATGTTAGAGCTGTCCAGGAGCAAAGATGTTGGCAGCAACAGTAGTCAGCAGGAACCCCAGTCAGAGAGAGACCCGGGCAGCCAGATATGATGAATAGGGCTAAGTAAAAGCACTGATCAGGAATTCAAGGTCAGTGACTTGAGTCAGTGAGAGAGCATCGTCAAAGGTAGTGTAGGCACAAAGTGATGACTAGGAGTCAACTCAGAGGTCTCAGGTGAAACTGTGGTTAACTGGACATATTGCCAGCCCTTCCCTGGTCAGGGATGCATGTGACTCAGGATGGGGGTAACTGGGATCACAAGGTACTCAGGTATTCAAGGACCAAGCATGGAGGAGACACTGCTGATCAGAATCCTAAAAGGTCTGTTGGAGTCAACGGTGACCCCAGAATTCAGTAGCCAGAGACACTGGCTGGTGATGCCAGTGACAAAGGAAATCAGGTCAGGGGTATGGAGTGTAAGGAACGTAGGGGACTGAAGTTTCAGCTATCAGCTACTTGGAGGTGAGCCTCGAGTTGGTACCAGAGTTCATGGTGGCACTACAGAAGGTGTGGTAGTACGAGGGCATTGGGTTAAAGACTGGTGATCAGAGGCAAGTGACCAAGGATATTAGTAAAGAGAGACTGAGTGAACAGACAAGTTGGTCACATATCAGCTACTCAGAAAGTGAAACTGGAGGATCAATGGAGCCTAAGTGTTTAAAGATAGCCTGAGCAACATAGTGAAACCGCACAACACATCCTCCTAAAAAGAAAAAGAAAAACCACTGATCTTTGCATTGATGACCACACCAGTGACTGACTGTATCTGTGGTTCACCCATTGAGCAGGTAAAATCTTGGTGAGAGTCAGGCATGTGGTTGGTGACAATCTTGAAGACCACTGCCAGGGACACTAATGGTCCCACTGTATACAGGCTAGTGCCTGGACACATCACTGACTAGAGGCTTTGGTGGAATATTGGTAATCGATTAGCAAGCACTCTCTGACTCCAGGTGCTATGACAGGTGTACTGCTCGGGAGTATCAGTAATGGTGGCTGGCTTTGCTCATTGGTTAGAGACAGCAATCAGTGATCAAGTTTGTCAGTGAACAGATTTGACAAGTTGGTATCTTAGAAGCCAGAGCTGGTCACACCTGGGAGGACCTGAGTGGGGACAGGTCAGTCCTTGGTTAAGGGAGACTCCCATGGGAACCTTGATGAACTCTCAAAAAAGCAGAGGCTGGAATAGACCCCAGTCCATGTGCACCCTTCCCTGGATTCCAGGGAGGAAGCTGAAATGGAGGCAGCTTAGGCCAGACAGGACACTTCCCATAGAACTACCCAGAAGACAGTAGAAGCAAGGCCATTCAATAGTTTAGGCCCCATCAGGGAAGCAAGCACCCCGGAGACCTACTCCAGGCTACATTCAGACCTACAGGCTGCATTCACAAAAAGTATTTTATTATTCTTAACAGTATTCACTTTAAAGGAATAGGAGGGTAGCATACAATTTTTACAGACAATATTTAAATGTTGTACATAGTTAACAATAACTTAGTTCACTAATCCAAAATAAAACAAGCCCAAAACATAAAAACAGAAAATACTGCCGATTCTTTTCTTGTGCGGTTACTAGTACAAAATAATTTACTTCTGGCTGGGGTGCTGTGCAGCGACTGGACGCTCATATTGCACTTGGTCCACTTGCCAGCACAATTGTCTTCCCCAGGTAGGGGCTGACTGTTGCACCCCACTGCAACCGCATGCAGAATCGAAGCTTGGGACACGTTTATGTACAGCTGTACCTTGGAAGGATCCAGACAGCCACGGAAAAGCAGAACCCCGAGATCCACAGGGCCGCAGCCTCCCTGCCTCCCAGCCCCCACAGCAACCAGAAGCATAAGGACCCCTTTGCCCCAGACTCTGACAGAGCTTGTGGGGTCCAAGAACCACTTCAGAAAGAACTGTGAAGCTCAGCCGCAGTTTATAGGTTTATTCCTTTCCATTAGAGGGGTTTCTGTGGCAACATACAGTTGACTGGACCCAAAAAGAGTTTAAAAATAAAACTAAAACTCATCAGTGAGTTAAGCTTATGCAGTTTGGTTTCTGTTCTGAATATTTTCTTATTTATCTCAGAGTGAGAGAGGGTTGAGGGGTTAGCAGAAAAAGGACGTATATACAGGGGTCCAGATGGCCCAGTGCACAGGCTGCAGCTTGGGCTCTCTTGGATCACACCAGCTTTGGCCTCAAAGCCAAGGGACCGATCTGGAGACGCTTCCCCTTTCCAGAAAATGTTTCCTTCCTGTGACCCAGCCCTGGCCTGGGAATCTGCGCAGGACTGCCTGCGATTGTCTCTGCCCTCCAGGCCGAGTCCGGGCAAGGGCTGCCCTCCTGGCTGCTGGGGAGAAGCGGGTGCAGGCTGAGACCCTGCAAGGTTGCCCCCCAGAGCCCTGGCCAACAGTAGCTGGCTCCAGGGAAGGACCCAAAGAACCCAAAACATCCCATGCCTCCATGTCCTCGTAAGAAATAAGAACAAAATAAATTACTTTTTTTTTTTTTTTTTTTTTTTTCATTTCTTTTTCTCTCAAAAAACATTTTTA